GTGGTGGTTTGTATTTTGTTTGTAATTTTTATTTTGTTGGTGATTTTGCACAAGAGTGACAATAAAACGAAATGTATCAGACGAGGAAGACCTTTTGCACAAGGGTGACAATAAAACGAAATGTATCAGACGAGGAAGACCTTTTGCACAAGGGTGACAATAAAACGAAATGTATCAGACGAGGAAGACCTTTTGCACAAGGGTGACAATAAAACGAAATGTATCAGACGAGGAAGACCTTTTGCACAAGGGTGACAATAAAACGAAATGTATCAGACGAGGAAGACCGAGTGCCATGTTAAAACAAACACATGGGTCGCCACCACTCGGAGAACGAGCGACGCTTCTGTCCCAAGTTCATGTTGACGTCCTTTGTTACTTTGTTACAGACCGAGTAAACAGTGACCACTCATCTCACTTACGATTTGAGTATGAGTCCTGGGCGGGGCTTATGGGTTTTGAGGGATCACATGCTTACCTCACCAGCAGCTGAAAATTGGTAGCTATTGGTCAACAGTGGGAGGGGCCTACGCAACATGATCGGTTGGAGGGACTACCTAAAAACAACGACAGGTGATTGAATTATGACGGCTCACCCACAACGCCAGGGGTCAATGCACAATTTATGACAAAACGTAAAGTCACTAAGGTGGCCGTCTAAGACAGGTGCTATTGCTTAGTGTGATAGGGGTTGTGTGTTAAAATATGGTGGCCGCGGCCGAGTTGTACAGGTGCCTGTTTTACACAGTTAAATTATATAGAAAAAACGCAAGGGGGGAAATGGAAAGTGGCCGTTTGTACAGGTGGCCGTCTTATAGAGGTGGCCGTTGTATAGAGGTGGCCGTCAGGGCAGGTTTGACTGTATATATATACACACAGACACACACACACAACAGACACACACACAAACACACAGAGCAGTCGTTGTGGGCCACCGTGCAGATTGTTACCAACTATAGGAGGTACAGGGGAACACAGGTTTTATATATATATATATCACAGCGGATAAAATACCGTCCAGACCGCTCACTTAGTTTTCCTTCCCCGGTTCCTCCCCGACCATCCTCACCACCCTGCCCGCCCCGCCCGACAGCCCAGCGCGTAGTCATAAATCACTTGTCAGAGGGGTTAATTGGGGTGACCGCAGCGACACTCCTCCTGTGCCGGGGCAGTAGTAAATATGGCGTTTTAGTGCGAATTGAAAGCCTCCCAACTCTGAAACTATAAATGCTACAAGGCCGATTGAGATTTCATTATAACGTGCTATGTTTGACCTGTAAGCCGGTATATTTTGTTTTCTTGTAAGTGCGATTATATCAGTTTTACAAGGGTTTTAAGTAAGTCTGTGATTTTCAAACTGGCATCTTCAATGTTTAGAACTTTTTCAGTTTGGATTTAAATATTTCAGTCCGGCCCCCAACGATTTAAACAGAAATTCATGTATCAACTGTGGTGACAATTTTCATTTACATGTGCAAGTTTCAAGTGCACTAAGTTATTCTATGATTTTCTGTGATTTTAAAAAAAATACCAACCCACCACTCTGAACATTCACCCTTGCTGCTTTTAGTTTTCTTGCCTTTACTACATCTGATTTTCGTTGTCATTTTTAACAATATTTTTGTCATGGAGTGCCACACTCAACATGGTCATAGGGTGGGCATTGTGCTCAAACATCATCGTCTTCTTGAGGAGGCTGCACATGATATAGATGTATAGCTGGCCCATGATATAGATGTACAGCTGGCCCATGATATAGATGTACAGCTGGCCCATGATATAGATGTACAGCTGGCACATGATATAGATGTACAGCTGGCCCATGATATAAATGTACAGCTGGCACATGATATAGATGTACAGCTGGCACATGATATAGATGTACAGCTGGCACATGATATAGATGTACAGCTGGCCCATGATATAGATGTACAGCTGGTCCATGATATAGATGTACAGCTGGTCCATGATATAGATGTACAGCTGGCCCATGATATAGATGTACAGCTGGCACATGATATAGATGTACAGCTGGCACATGATATAGATGTACAGCTGGCCCATGATATAAATGTACAGCTGGCACATGATATAGATGTACAGCTGGCACATGATATAGATGTACAGCTGGCACATGATATAGATGTACAGCTGGCCCATGATATAGATGTACAGCTGGTCCATCAATCTATGGAGAATTGCAGGCCTGGAATAGGACAAAATGTGCATATCTACGGCAAAAAATGAAAGAGGGCTGAAAAAACAGAGGAGGAAATTCAATTGTTACAGGGCTGTCAGGTTTTGTGGAGGACATTCAATTGTTACAGGGCTGTCAGGTTTTGTGGAGGACATTCAATTGTTACAGGGCTGTCAGGTTTTGTGGAGGACATTCAATTGTTACAGGGCTGTCAGGTTTTGTGGAGGACATTCAATTGTTACAGGGCTGTCAGGTGTTGTGGAGGACATTCAATTGTTACAGGGCTGTCAGGTTTTGTGGAGGACATTCAATTGTTACAGGGCTGTCAGGTTTTGTGGAGGACATTCAATTGTTACAGGGCTGTCAGGTTTTGTGGAGGACATTCAATTGTTACAGGGCTGTCAGGTGTTGTGGAGAACATTCAATTGTTACAGGGCTGTCAGGTGTTGTGGAGGACATTCAATTGTTACAGGGCTGTCAGGTGTTGTGGAGGACATTCAATTGTTACAGGGCTGTCAGGTTTTGTGGAGGACATTCAATTGTTACAGGGCTGTCAGGT